GTAATAACTTTTCCTTCAAAAAATTTATTGCTGCTATTAAAACTTATTTTTACACTTTCATAGTGTTTTAACCTCCAGCTTGAGGGTTAACTATTTTTCCATAGTTAGGACCGTAAATGCGGGACAATCTCTTCACAGATGAAGAAGAGACTTGAGGCAAAAAAAACGTGGTTCTACAGAAGGATGCTGAGAATATCTTGGACTGAACATGTGAGTAACAATGAAGTGTTATATGCAAGGAAACAAAAAAGACAATTAGAATCAGAAAGAGATTTCTGGGACAGATAGTGAGGCCAGAGGGCTTGGAAAATTTGACACTCACAGGACATACTGAAGGCAACATGGGCAAAGGTAAACAGCGAGTAACCTACCTAACAAGACATGGCTGGTAGAACAGGAAGGGATGGTAAATCGATATTATTTTACAGCTTACCAACCTTTTTAATGTTGCTTAAGCCGAAACATATTTTTGAATTGTAAGAACTTTTTGGAGATAATAATGATTTTCTGATACAGCCCGTACTATTTAACCCATAGCTATGAGGAGAAGAAGTGGATTCATGCCTTTAACAAGGTTATTTAAACGTAAGTAAATATAACGAACCCGACTGGAATTCGAACACTTCTCTCAGATTTCTCATTCCGAGTTGCTATCCGATGAAAGGATAGCTTTTACGATTTTCTACAAAGGATAGGAAGTTGTGGAAAGCCATGAACGCTCACGTTCTGTAGGGATACAGCACATACAAGAAGAAAAGCAAATATTTAAAGAACGAAGACACCAATGGTTACAAATGTGGTTAGAATTTGGTAAATGGTGTGACTTTTTTTTTTTTTTAGTTTTCAGTGAGAGTTTAGCACAAATATAATAAACTACACGCACTGCCTTGATCTTAAGAGGTGTGTTCGGCAAATTTCATTTCAATTTATATCTGTACGGCCTGGACACACAAAAAGACAACCCAGACGCACTCTCGTACAGACACTTTTCTTTATGCAAGTGCTACACAGCGCGTCATAGATATATAAAAACACTCGGAAAGAAGTGAACTTATTAAAACGACCACACGCACCTTTGTGGATAGGCGATATATTCCAATCTTTAGTATGTCCCAATTAGCAAATACCTAAGCACCTTGATTTTGTACACATATCTCTCGCTCTCTTTACACACATACGAATATATATATATATATATATATATATATATATATTTATAGTCGTAGATCAGAAACAACTCAGCCCCACATAGAAAACCAACTTAAAATCATATTTACCTTGCTTCAGTAAGCGACTTTATTTCGATTTTATGGACCGTAAAGGAAGTTGGAGCGTCTACAGACAGGCTTCGAGGCACATACACACACGCGCACTCAAAGTTATATATATATATATATATATATATATATATATATGGAGATATGGAGAGACAGAGACAGAGAGAGAGAGAGAGAGAGAGGGAGAGATGGAGAGAGAGAGGGAGAGAAAGAGAGGAAAGAGAGAGAGAGAGAGTGAGAGGAAGAATGACAAGAGAGTGTGACTGGAGAGAGAAGAAGAGGGAATGTAAGAGAGGGAGGAGAGAGAAGGGGGAGAGAGTGTGAGAGAGAAGCAAGGAAGGAGAGAGGGAGAGGAGAGAGATCGAGAGTAAAAGAGCGGGAAGTAGAAGAGAGTGAGAGAAAGTGAGAGAGGGAGAGAGAGGGAGAGAGAGAGAAGGAGAGAATGAAAGAGAGGGAATGAGAGAGAGAGAGAGAGAAGGCGAGAGAGTGAGAGAAAAGGAGAGAAAGAGAAGTAGACCAAATTGTTCTGATATTTATATCATTATACAAATAAACATTGTTGTACAAATATATAATGGTAACTCACCTGATAATATATATATATATATATATATATATATATATATATATATATATATATATATATATATATATATATATATATATATATATTGAACCAATGCAGTACATTTGAGACGAGGTGACTTTTTTTTGTTTGTGTGTGTGTGTGCGTTTGAGAGATATAATCGGGTATGGGGTAGATCCCCCCACCCGCACCCGCGTCTTAGACTCCGTCTAATATCAACGATGTCTACTCTATTCGTTTTTGATTGTATTGACATAGACGATGTGCCTCGTTGCTTAAAGTCCCTCGTCTGAGTCGTTCCAACAGGTGACAGTTCATCTTTCTTTCGTGTTTAAGAAGCCAAGGGTAAATTATTTTGACGACGCCGCGCCCCTTCTTGTTCGACATACACACAAAGCTCACTTTATTTTGAGATTGATTTACACTCATTTTAAACACCCCCTCTTTGTGCACGGTTTGCCCGCTTGTATATAAAAAAAACTCACGTGTAAATATACTTATATTCATTAAAATGATACAAGCTATCAACAATAACGGAGAAAATTAAGCAATAAATAAAAGAATTAAATAAACCAAAAAACATAGTGAATCCTAAATGAAAGAATCAGCACAAAACACGCACATTTGCACGCTACAAAAAGGACGTCACTTATTCTGATCACACTGGGGAGGGTCCTTTTCATAATGGTAACCCGCCAGATAATATATATATATATATATTGATAATATTAGTCGTCAATATATATATATATATATATATATATATATATATATATATATATATATATATATATATATATATATATATATATATATATATATATACTTAGTGTATTGAGCACTTTACGTAGTTGTCTTTTTACTCGTTTTGGGTTTTTTCTTTGGACTTAGAGCTTGAACACTGAACGATTGTTTTCGCCGTGTTTTAATGTTCTTGCTTCTTTCTTTTTTTTATTTCCCATTTTTCCTCCGATACTGATTTGTTCTACTGCAAGTTGAGCTATCCGAGGTTTTCTAAACGAGTACCACTATATATATATATATATATATATATATATATATATATATATATAGAGAGATATAACGAGAGAGAGATAGCGAGAGAGAGAGAGAGAGAGTGTGTGTGTGTGTGTGAAGAAACAACATTGCGGAGTTTCCATGAAGAGTTGATTTGTTCTACTGCAAATTGAACTATCTGAGGTTTTTCCAAACGAATACCACATATATATATATATATATATATATATATATATATATATATGCAAATTTCAAGACTATAAATCCAGGTAGAACTCAATGTCCAGGACAGAGTAAGAATATAATATAAAAGAATCAAACACTAATATTCCATGGTTATAATTTATTACATTGGAATCGTAATCACGATCCAATTCATCAGACCTAGAAATTCAATATATATATATATGTAAATTTTCAAGAGGATAGAATCCAGGTAGAACTCAATGCTCATGTGAGAGTAAGAATATAATATAAAAGGATCAAACAATTTGAATTTGTAGGTCTGATGAATTGTATCTTGATTACGATTCCAATGTAATAAATTATAACCATGGAATATTAGTGTTTGAGCTTTTTATATTATATATATATATATATATATATATATATATATATATATATATATGTGTGTGTGTGTGTGTGTGTGTTTGGTTAAATAATTTGAATGTAGTATATCTATTTATTTTAGTTTTAATCTTTTCAAGTTCACGAATTAATTTCCTCGTGGCTGTTGAAAATGATTGCACTTTTCTACAACTTCCAAGAAATTTGTGGATTTGAAAGGATTAAATAGACTTAATAATTCTATATTATTTAACCAAATATTCTTGAATGAAAATATGCCATCTAAATATATATACATACATATAATGAAAATTATATGTACACACATATAATGAAAAAGCTGAATGATACTGACGTGCAGTACCATTCAGCTACAGAGAAGCGTCTGGTTAGCAAAGTCTGAATTACTGTTTATAAACACACACCTTCGAAGATTTTTCTCGATCGATTATTTCTGCTCACGAAACGTAACTTAACATAAACAATGACAACATATAATGACAAAGATTCAATACGACAATTATTTCATATATTTTCTGTTTATACGTTATGTATAGGAATACAGGTTCGATTTCTGTCGGAGAATACATATTTTCTACGAAATATATATTAAAAAGGAGAGAGGAACCGCAAACGATTTTGGTTGTAATGTGGGTTTTAATAAAAAAAATATTATGCTTTATTTTTCATAATTTTGCTACATGCGTTTCCGGTCCCACGACCTTCATCAGGCAAGGAGTGAATATTTCCACATATTATTAGAAGGAATTAATTAATTTTTTTACGTTTTTCGATGTTAAATATTCTAGATGTTAGACTTTGTATTTTTGTGTATTAGTGACACAAATGTCTTCCTTCAACTGGCAGTGAAAAAGTTATATATATATATATATATATATATATATATGTTTATGTTTGAAAGGATTTTAATTCTTATGACTATAAACGTTAGTTTTGTGGTTATTTGAGTTGCTGTTCCTGTTTTCTTATTTCCTCAACTATTGAAATTATCAACCGCTATTTAAAAAAAAGCGCGCCATTACCAATTTGGCAATGCAACAACAACAAAAAAAGAAAGAAAGAAAGCAAGCCTTCTACGATCAAGGTAACGAGTATCAAAGTGTAGTATCGGTTCCAGGAGCAACTGACAGCCAGCCCAGAGCTGCAGCCATTAGCATCAGTTCCAGCTAACCATCCATCATCATCTCCAATATAATCGGCCGACGCTCCAGCCATCTCCAGTAGACCTTCAGCTCCTGCCAATCCAGCTAGCTCTGACAGGCTTCCTGCTCCAGCCATTCTTGTCAACGATTTAAAATAAACTCTCCTTTTCAGGACAACGCTATCCAGACCAAAATTTTTTTTTAGGACAACGCTGTTCTCACCTCTTCTACATGAGCTTGCAGAGTTATTTTTTGCCTCGTGCACCGAACAATTATATTTGATTATGTATTTTTCTTTAAAAATAAACTTGGTAATATATTTTTATACTCAGGTCTTCGTATGCATTTTAGTTGCCTTTCGCCATTCAATATCTGTTTCAATATAATATATATATATATATAATATATATATATATATATATATATATATATATATATATATATATATATATATATATATATATATATATATATATATGTACTAGAAGCATGGCTGTGCTTGATTCAAAAATCGTACGACTCAATACAGCAATCGCTATCATTTGACTTAAAAATATTTTTGCCCTTCATTGCTTTTAAAGGAGTGCCCTTTGCTGTGCTGATGTTGCTACATGCCTTACTTCTTGCCTATCTCACACTGCGAATTTTTTCTAAGCTCTATACTAAACATTAAATCTGTTACGAAAAAAGAACTAAACAAAATGAACACAAAACGATCAGATTTAAAAAAAAAAGGACTCGTAACTGGAAAAACTGAATGAAAAAAGAATGTTAACAACAAATACTTTTTCACATCCAATCCCAGTTCTGCGGAATCAGAATCAATGTTGCATTAAAAACTGATCGGCCATGAACATGTATAATTCATAGTTCTATCTTTCAATATCGAGCACTATCATTATAAAAACTGCTTGCATTACAAACTGATCGACTGTTTTTAGCACGAAATGCAATGTTTGTTATATTCTTGAAATACTAAGGAATAAATTTTTTCAATAAAATCCCCACAGCCTCCAGACGGTCTCTTTGTTTAAGTTTGTGAATGCTGCCATAATCATTGCCTTCAGTTCATTTTTGGTTTTACATTGATTTTTGTTGGTCTCTCAATCAACTGCGCCCCACACATAATAATCAAGGAGGTTGAAGTCTGGGGTGTTTGGTGGCCAGATGGAAGTGGTAATGTGGTCGCAGAAATTGTTCGACAGTCATGACTGGGTCTCCTGCTTGTGTGGCATGGTGCAGAGTCCTGTTGCCAGACATGGGGTCTCCCAGCAGTCATCCTCTTGATCCAGGGTAGAACTAACTCCTCAAGGAGCCTCCGTGTTGAGTCTGAGTTCTTGCGGGAAGATGAATGGAGGCATAACATCGCCCTTCACTAGTGATCACTTCAAACACCTTCGTAATCACCACTGGACTCATCAAACTCTTTCTGAACTCTCTGCACTGTCCTCAGATTGACACCCAAACACTCTGAAATGTTCGTATTGGAGCTTCCGGCGCGAAATTTTTGGTGGTGTGAATGTCGTCATGGTGCTCTTTTTCTTACAGAGGTTGCCTAATTTACCCCACTATACTGTGCAGTCGACAAAATGAAAAACAAACAACGCACATGCGCGAAGTTTAAAAAAAAAAAAATCAAATGGCGTCAATTTACTCATCGCACCCTGTATATGATCGTTTCCGGAAATAATTATTTTTTTGAGGCAGAATTTAAAATGGATACTTCCTAAAAGGCTGTGGCTTTTCTTCAGCGATGAAACGAAAGCAGAAGTTGAACCTAATTTCCTTGGTACCTCGGACAACTATTCTCTTCTCTGAATAGAGCTTCTTTCAAAGATGAATTGCGAAATTTCTTTGAACTTTAGACGCTGACATTGTTCTATAGTGACGACATCCCTCTCTCTTTATGTGCCGGTTTGTTTTAGGTTTATTTTGTTTTACGGCACATCAACACCTCAATGAGTTATTTAATGCCGACAACATTTTTTTCTGCTGGTAATATTTTGTTTTGTCAAAAATCTGTTTCTGGTAATATTTTTCCTTCAAAATTGTATTGATGTTAATAATATTTTTCAAAAAAGTATTGCTGGTAATAGTTAGCTATTTGCCCATAGCTGGGACCCTAACAGGTGCTACCACCCCGAGTCAGGGTGGACCTGGGAACACCAGCAATTAAGAGGTGGTTCCACGCTTCTCAAAACCTCCTGATCAGAGGCCTTAGCTTATCGTCTTACCCAGGACGTGGATGTAGTTTAACGTCTTACGCATGACGGTTTATGTGCCGGGACCCCCAGGACGTAGGCGATCATGTTTCTTCACAACTTCCTGTCCTTTGCAGCTCTTAATAAACATTGTCTTTCTGTTATTTCTCTTAAGCCCTTTTCCTCCATCTATTTTCTCAAGCACATTAAGTAGGTTATGCGCTGTCTTCCTCTGTCCCACTTGCTTTCAATCTGTCCTGTGAGTATCGGATTTACCGAGCCATCTTTCCTCATTATGTGTCTCAGAAACCTTAACTGTTTCTTCCTGATGTTAAGTACTAGTTTCTATCTTGTTTCCATTTCGCCGTTACTCACATGTTTGGTCAATGGTATTCTCAGCATCTTTCTGTAGAACCACTTTTCTGTTGCTTCAAGTCTTCACTTCATCTTCGAGGAGATCGTCCAGCACTCACTGCTATGCAGGAGGACAGATATCATATAGCAGTTTAGTACCATGTTTCGAACGAAATTTTCTTTATGTTTCTGAAATAGTTGTTAAATTCTTGCCATTTTTCATCGCGTTTTTTCCTTTGTGTCTATAAGCCTTGAAAGGCTTTCACTTTAAAAAAAGAAAAAAGAAAAAGTTATCTGTTTGTACAAAGACGTTACTGATGGTCTGTTTCGTCGACAGCTACTCATGACTCTTCGTTCTGATTGAGAGATTAACACCGAAGAGATTATTCAGGTATTAATTGTGTGATCTCTCCGCAGCTCGTCTGTCTTTGGGCTTAATCACAAACCGCGGTGCTTGACACCTGCGGCCGGAAATTGACGTCGACTTTAAAGCTTTTCTTCTCGCTCGGATCTTGGACAGAATCCCATCACGTCGCTCAGAACAACGTCTTCCCTTCATTCCTAAGTCGACTCGAACTCACACACGTCCGCAATGATCCTTCCCCTTCTATCTTCCGATTGAATTACAGCATGACCAGTCTCGTTTAGCCTTTTACCACACAAACACACACACGCGGCTTACGATCCCCGAAGTTAAGCAACGTCCGGTCACTAACCTACCAGGTGCTGTTAACCTGGATGCGCGGGTGGTGTAATGGATAATGGCTCGGAATTGTTAATTAGAGAGCCGAGTTCCAATTTTGACTGGGTTTGTTATATATACTTACGCGCAAATACCCGTGAGAAAGGCATGAATCCACATCTTTCTCCCCAGCTATGGGTTAATTAGTAAGTCTTGTACCAGTAAAACTATTATTATCACCGAAAATAAAAAAAAGAGATTCTCGGAATCTACAGCTATTTTCTGGATTTAAATAACCGGTAAAGGGTTGATAAGCCGTAAAAAAAAAAAAACGAAACAACCATGAATGTAAAAGGACCAAGAGCCACTCGAGATAGAGGATTATAAAATTACAATGTTTATAGGGATATGTGGCGAAGATAACGGTTGTTCCTAGACTGGAATAGGTTATGGTTGTAGTGATCGGGGAAGCATCCACTTGGGAGTCAGTTCCATAAAGCAGTAGTTTGCTGGATGAAGCTGCTACGAGTGGAACTTACATATAGCCAATGGAATACGTAGAGGATTATGATGGTTCGCTAGACTGTGTGTAGTGTGGCATATTTTAGCCGTGAATATTACAGCTTGGGGAACTAAGGAATGTAGTCTGTCACATTTTCCATGGAAATGGCGATAGAGCAGTAAGAGGTTTGCAACATTTCGCTTGTGGGAAAGGAGTTGTAGGGGGAAAATAATTCATCACCCACAAGGATGCGGTGATGTTTTTGGGCTTCTATCGAGACTAGAAAGTGAAGACTGGACAGCCACTGCTCATATATGGTAGAAGTACTCAATTTTCGGTCTGAGAAAAAAAAAATCAGGAGTAGTACATAGAATTGGTCATTTTTTTTCTTGCATCTTTAGCGTATGTACGAGTCCCACCTGAGGTATGCGTCTGAGTTGTTTTAGTCCTGATAGGCGCTCAAGAGACGGGGCCTCCCTGTGGGCAGACCCGTTTATCGGAATATGTGAAAATTCAGGGTATTTTGCACATTTGGAAGAAAAGAGATCGATGGAGGTAATTAATGAAGTGAATGTAATTACATTTCAAGAAATGTAATTAAATACGTGAAGAATAGAAAAGCAATGAACCATCCCACCCACACACACCAAAATATTGAAAAGAAAGACTATGAAAATAACATTAGGGAAAATGAGAAAAAAAAAAAGAAAGAAAAACCAAGATATAGAAAAGGGAAAGAAAGAACTTATAAAGGTTGAGAAGAAAAGGAAGAAAGAGTGTTAAGGATATATCAAAAGTAAAGAAGAAAGGCACAATAATAATGTTAAGGTAACAGTAGCCGTTTCCTTATAAGGAAACATTCAGCATTTATTAACCGAGCAGCCAGTGTAATTCAAATTGCGCTTTTCACCACACCCAGGACATCGTGCTTGGATCAAAGTGTAGTATCTGTTCTCTTCTGTAATGTTAAAGGTAATATTAGCCATTTCCTTATAAGGAAACATTCGGCATTTATTAACCGAGCAGCAAGTGTAATTCAAATTACGCTTTTCACCATTCCTTGGACATCGTGCTTGGATCAAAGTGTAGTATCTGTTCTCCTAACCTGTAATGTTAAAGGTAATACTAGCCGTTTCCTTATAAGGAAACATTCGTCATTTATTGAACGAGCAACTAGTGCTACTTTCATTTGAGATTTTTAAAATCCTTCTCTTAAAACAATTTTTCATGAAAAATAGATTTTACAAGTTCATTATCTTTTATCGCTCTCTACAGTATTGATAGCTGGTGGCGGGGGTCATTTCCTTATGTTTGGGAAATTGTGGAACCTCTACATCTTCCTTATGGTATTATTTTCTCTTCGAGGTACATGTGCTATCCATTTTAGCTGTTGCTGCTGTTGTAAGTCCACAAGATGTTTCCGTTATTTGATACAGTGCTTTGTGATTCTGTAGCCCTAGTCCATGAGGTTCGGAGACATTTTTAACCATCGGCCTGAGAAAGCGATTGCATACAACTGACAGTTTAGATATTTCTGAACGGGTTTGGCACCTTGCATGACATTCATATGAAAGTCTCAATCTGATGAGGCTATTTATGAACATGACTTGAGTTTTTAGGTTAATCTTTTGGTTTTGTAACAATTTGCAGAAAGGATGATTTAATGATTGAATTTTTTAAATTTTTGAACTAAAGTTTATTTTAGCATGTTTTTGAATTGAATCCGTAGGTTGTTTATTGAAAATATGGTAAAAAGAGATTGTGAGCTAGTTAGAAATTAAGGTAAGCATATTTGACTCAACTGGCTGGTAGATGTATGATGTAAAACATTACTAATAATTTTACTATAGAAAAAGTGAAACAAGTCATTTTACTGTAAAAATGCATGGTAAATGATTTTAATATATAACTGCATTGTAAATCAGATAGACAGATTACTTTTCAGTAGAGCGTAATTTAGTTCTTGGATGAAATATTCCATTGACTGAATTTTTTTATTATTGATATTCTTCTGCGCACAATAAGCTGATTTGTTCCTGTTTAATTTTGAGTTGGATGAATCTGCTGGAATCCATTCAAAAGGGAAAAAAATGGAAATTCCAGTACATAATGAGAGAAATCATTTCATTTCTTGACAGAGAGTTTGCTATGTAATTTACTGCCTGCAATAATCAAGTGATGTATTTGATATTTGGTAGAGTTCTTCGTAATTCTGTAGTGCCAGTCCACAAATTTTGAAGAGGAATGTTCCTTGCTAAGAACTACAAGCTTCATCTGCTCAAAGCCATTTTTAACTATTGATTTGAGAAAGTGGTTGCATACAGCTGACAGTTTAGATATTTCTGAACGGGTTTGGTGCCATGCATGACATCCATATGAAAGCCTCGATCTAACCAGGCTATTTAAGAACACGACTCGAGTTTACAGGTTAATGTTTTGATTTTGAAGCAATTTTACGGTGTTGGATGAAACTACCCCTAGCGCAGCCTATTCTACGTTCAGTTTCCTTATCACTTGTATTGAACTGAGGCTTTTGAAGTGATTAGTAATTACTAATTCCACATCCTGAATTTTTATGACGGATTCAGTGTAGCTGCCATCACCGCTTTCATTCCAATTCCAGATGAAAGTTTCTTTTGGAAAGGTTTATTTTGAGTTCGATTTCTTGGAACACTTTGTTGATTTTTTTTTTATTTAAGATCATTCTTATCTTACCTATAAATATCTATGTCGCCAGCACAGACAGTCCACCCACGCTCCCTCGGCATCGGTACACTGCTCTCGAGAAGGAAAACAGGAAATCTATCTTCTATTCATTTGTGAGGCGGCATGGAATGGTTAAATGGACAGTATGCCCAGTGGCAGAGGTAGTTGCGCGCTTTCTCAGTGTTGGACGAGTAAATATGAAGCGAAAAACGAGAAGGGCGAAAAGGGAATGATAGAGTAAAGAGCATAGAAAGAAAGAAAGAAAGAAAGAAAGAAAAAAGAAAGAAAAGAAGATGGAAAAGTGGAGAATGGTCAAAGTTAATAGCTTAAAGAAATAAAGAAAGAAAGACAGAAAGAAAGAAAGAAAGAAAGAAAGAAAGAAAGACAGACAGAAAGAAAGACATAAAGAAAAAGAGAGAAAGGAGGAAAAGAAGTAAAGTTAATAGCAATAAAGAAAGACACGAAGAAAGAAAGAAAGAAAGAAAGAAAGAAAGAATGAAAGAAAGAAAGAATGAAAAGGGAAAGGAGGAAAGTTAATAGCAATAAAGCAAGACAGAAGAAAGACACGGAGAAAGAAAGAAAGAAAGAAAGAAGAGAGAAAAGAAGAAAAGGAGTAAAGTTCATAACAATAAAGTCAGACAAAAAGAAAGTCACGAAGAAAGAAAGAAAAAAAGAAAGAAAAAAGAAGAGACAAAGTAGGAAAAGGAGTAAATTTCATAGCAATAAAGAAAGACACGAAGAAAGACACGAAGAATAGAGAGGAAGTAGGAAAAGGAGTAAAGTTAATAGCAATAAAGAAAGGCAGAAAGAAAGGCACGAAGAAAGAAAGAAAGAAAAAAGGAGAAAGAAAGAAGAAGAAGGGGTAAAGTTAATAGCAATAAAGGAAGGCCAAAAGCAGAAAGAAAGGAAAGGGAATGAAGAGTGAGAAATGGAATGAAAAAAAAAGAAAAGGAAAATGAAAATGAAGTGGGGAGACTTAGGCCGAAAAATAGATATGGTAAGAAAATGATTGGAAAAGAAAATAGAGAAGGGCAAAAACGAAAGTCAGAGATATGAACAGAGATAGATAGAAATGAACAGAATGATCTCTCTCTCTCTCTCTCTATATATATATATATATATATATATATATATAGATATGAACAGAGTAAGATAGATAGATATGAACTGAAATAGATCTATCTATCTATCTATCTATCTATCTATCTATCTATCTCTCTCTCTCTATATATATATATATATATATATATATATATATATATATGAACAGAGTAAGATAGATAGATAGATAGATAGATAGATAGATAGATAGATAGATAGATATGAATAGAGTAAGATAGATAGATAGATAGATAGATAGATATGAACAGAGTAAGATAGATAGATAGATAGATAGATAGATAGATAGATATGAACATAGATAGATATGAACAGAGTCAGATAGACATATGAACAGAATGATATCTATCTATCTATCTATCTATCTTATCTATTATCTATTCTATCTATCTATCTATCTATCTATCTATCTATCTATCTCTATCTATTATATATATATATATATATATATATATAGAGAGAGAGAGAGAGAGAGATATGAACAGAGTAAAATAGATAGATAGATAGATAGATAGATAGATATGAATAAAGTGAGATAGATATGAATAGAGTAAGAAAAGAAAAGAAAACAGACAAAGCGAAAAGGAGTGAAAGAAGCAAAGAGAGAGAACAAAAAGCGAAAGCAAGAAAAGAAGAGAGTGATTTAGAGAGAAAAAGTGAGAAATAGAAACAGAGACAGAGCGAAAGATAGTGACAGACAGACAGAAATACAGAGAGAGGATGAACGATAGATAGATAGATAGAGAGAGAGAGAGATAAAATTATAATAATATTTTGCTCTACGTTGCATTGAGCAATTTGAAAAAAAAAGTAAATGCTAAGAACTGTGAATTCTTTATCTCTCTGTTCTTCCTTTTTATTTAGATCAGAGGATCTCAAGCGGGGTCCATATGGACCCTACCGGTCCATGTAACATTACGGGGGGGTCTACACAAAAGATAGCATACTTGGAGATCCATAGTAATATTTTAGCGGTCCATAGAGCAATTTCACTTCGGAACGGTCGTTCCAACTGAGAACTGAAATTTCTATAGAAATCTACGCCATATTAAAATACTAAAAACAGAAAAACGACTGTAAAACTATCAGAAAACGAGATCAAATTATGTAATTTAGCGTCCCTTTTACTCTACCGGATGTTTTCATTATAAAAGCTGAACAAAAACTGAGAAGGATATATAAAGAAAGGATTATATATATAAAAGAAAATTATATAAAGATTATAATTTATTTTATGACTTAATTTAATATATTAATAATAAATCATAATATTAAAGTAAAAATTAATTAATATAAATATCTAAAAAATAAAATATTAATAATAAGATTAATTTAATATATAAATAATACAAGAATTAGATATGAAAGAAGGATTAGCTTTAACAGTATTATCAATTTCCAACAAAACTATATATCTGGACTTATGTGTATAAATGTTCCATAGAATTTAGTCGTTGAATACAGTTTTCATCAAAGTAGTTTTAGTTTAAAATAAAGCATATATTTTTACTATGTCAATACAATTCCTAAACTTATCTATTAGTAAAAAGTAAAATAAACTTTTCTTTTCATCGAATGGTTCCCCCCCAAAAAACATTCGATGTCCACCAAAAAGAATTAAGAGTAAAAGTGGTTCAAGGGTAAAAAAAAAGGTTGAGAACCATATTATATATATATATATATATATATATATATATATATATATATATATATACTGCTACCAGCAAGCAGAAATATTTCTTCTCCCGATGATGGCCATTTTGGGCGAAACTTGTCGAGGAATCTAAATGAAATAATAATAAAAAAAACGAAAGAATATTAATCTACAAGTGTCTTAAGATTTCAATTTTTAATATTTTTTATTGTTCAATATATATATATATATATATATATATATATATATATATATATATATATATATATATATATTTCTGAAGAAAGATCGAGGTCGATCTGAAATATCAAATATAAATAAATAATTTCATAAAAAACATTATTATTTTTTTAATTTGCAACTTTTATATATATATATATATATATATATATATATATATATATGTGTGTGTGTGTGTAAAATATATAGAAAATAGGAAAGAACTAGTTAGGTAAATAATCCAAAGTTCTTTAGTATTTTTGTTATTTTTAAAAAAACAGTGCTCGATACAAAAGTAGGACCTAAATATAATTATTTATATAGAGAGATAGAGATAGATAAATAGATAGATAGATAGATAGATAGATAGATAGAGAGAGAGAGAGAGAGAAAGAGAGATAGATAGATAGATAGATAGATAGAGAGAGAGAGAGAGAGAGAGAGAGAAAGTAAGTAAAGAAAGTATAAAACAAGAAATTTAGTCGTATTATCAGAATGGAACAACAGAGAAGTAATATCAAAAATCTATATAAAAAGATTCAAGTGAAAAAGAAAGTGCCTAGGAAAATAACAAAGAATATGATGGCAATTATGAATGAAAAAGGAAAAAAAAAAACACAATAACTAAAAAGCGAAAAAGAGGAGACGATCCGTGTGCGATCAAACGTATAAAAAAAAATAAAATAAAAAAGAATTTAAATTTGTGCGCTGGTTTCTCCGTCGCAAAAGAACATGTCACGAAACCGATTCAGCTCCGCAATTCTTCGTGAGAGCATTTTGATTAAATCACTCCGTCGGTTGGAAGCCCCAGTTGAATGCCTCGCCTCTCTCTTTTGCTATTTCCCGGAGACAGGACTGGGATGTAGAAGGAAAAAGCTCAGGCGGGGCCGTGAAGAGGTGGCTGTGGTAAGTCGGTGTTGAATTGTGTTGTTGTGGTTGAAGCAACGGCCGATGGGGAGAGAAAAAGGCGTGGAACGTGATAGATGATAGGTTTAAGAAAAGGGAGAAGGAAGTCGATGACTGTAAGACTAGTAAGAAAGGTGGCTCTGGGATATCACCTTCCCAGTGGCTGGGTAGGTGGGGTCGTCGTCTATACATCAGGGCTCGGGCATAAACCACCGCCTGTCTGTTTGTAATCTTGTAATCAAGTTGTATCTAATCCCGCCTGTCTGGGAGTCATGTCCGACGCCATGTTTGCAACATTCGGCTTCTTCGCCTCAGTTTCCTCTTACGGAGACCATTTACATATTATCGCTGACACACGACCCCTTGTGCGTGTGTGTGTGTGTGTGTCCACACGTCGACGTGTACTTATGGATATCACGACCAGAGATCCGATGCGTGTGATAAGTAAGAATGGGTAAATGTCTGTGTGTGTGTGTGTGTGTGTGTGTGTTTGTGTCTATGCGTGTGTTTGTGTGTGTGTTTGTGTGTGTGTGTGTGTGTTTGTGTGTGTGTGTTTGTGTGTGTGTGCGTGTGTTTGTGTGTGTTTGTGCGTGTGTGTTTGTGTGTGTGTAGGTAGGGGTAGGTGGGAAAAAATGAATGAAAAAGATTTTATTTTACTTACTCATTCATTTGAAAAAGTCAAAAAATAAATGAAAAAGAAAAAAACTAATAAAAACGAAAAAATAATGAAAAAAGGAAAAATGAATGAAAGAGAAAGAAAAATGAAAAATTGAATACAAAAACGAATGAAAAATAATAAATGAATGAAAAATTAAAATGAATGAATAATAGGTGAAAATGAATGAAAAATTAAAATGAATGAATAAAAGGTGAAAATGAATGAAAAAGAACATTGAATGAAAAAGAAAAAATGAATGTAATTTGAATGTAATAAAAAAAGCGAATGAAAAAGGAAGAAAAAATTAAAATGAAAAATGAACGAAAAAGAAAAATAATACTGAAAGGGAAAATGGATGAAAAAATGAATGAAAGAAAAATGAATGAAATTGAATGAAAGAGAAAATTGAATGAAAAAGAAAATGAATGAAGAAGAAAAATGAATAAAATAGAAAAGTGAATGAAAAAGAAAAATGCATGAAAAACAAAAATGTCTAAAAGAAAGATAAATGATATGCTCACATGAGGATGACGGCATTGAGATGTATTAAAAGTATTTTCGGTTTTTGGTCAATTTTTATTATTTTCCTTCTTTTCTTCCTATTATGAATTTTTATCTTTTTTCTTTGAAGTTTTTGCAAAGTTATTGTTTACGTAAATCTTAATTCCTTTTGTCTTTTTTGACTGCATGCACCATATCCTCTGTTTACTTACTGTTTTTTTTTTCATTCATAATTTCTTCCATATATATATTTTTTTTTAATGGAAGTTTTCCGGTGTTGGGGTTCGGGTCCTTATTAAAAATGCGAGTCTGAGTTGAAGTTTGTGATTATGAATACGACGCGAAAAGGAAACTTATATTCATTTTTGGTCTTTCAGTCGAAACAGATTGACTTCGTCATTTATCTTTCTTTTAGAAATTTTTCTTTTCATTCATTTTTCTTTTTCATTCAATTTTCTTTTTCATTCTTTTTTTCATTCATTTTTCTCTTTCATTCATTTTTCTCTTTCATTCATTTTTTTCATTCATTTTCCCTTTCATTCATTTATTTTCTTTTTCGTTAATTTTTTAATTTTAATTTTTTTTCCGTTTGCATTCACTTTTTCTTTTTCATTCATTTTTTTCTTTAGCACTCACTTTTTCTTTTTCATTCATTTTCACCCTTCATTAATTTTTCTTTTTCATTCGCTTTTTCTTTTTCATTCATTTTCACCTTTCATTTATTTTTTATTTTTCATTCATTTATTTTATTTTTTATTCACTTTTTCATTCAATTTTTCATTTTCTGTCATTTTTCTTTTCCATTAATTCTTTAATTTTTTCTTTCATTCATTTTTCCTTCTTTCATTATTTTTTCATTTTCATTAATTTTTTCTTTTTCATTTATTTTTCCTTTTTCAAATGACTGAGAAAGTAAAATAAAATCTTTTTCTTTCATTTTTTACATTTTTTTTTTCCCACCCACTTTTTTCATCATGAATGTGCATGTCATGTAATGGATATCGGAATGCTCGGAATGAGAAATTGGAGAACGGAGTTTGAATTCCAGTCGGGTTCATTAGATTCAATCGCAAATCCCGTGACCCCTCAAGGTCGTAGGGTCACCACATGCACTGCAGCTGCAGTACAAGTGGTGTTTCTTGGGCAAGATAGCCTGACGGTGCCCAACCCTCTCCAGACCGGTTTTGAATTCAGAGTTTTTTTTCTCCTGCACCGGTTGCCACCCACAAGGTTATAGAACCCGGTCTGTTTTGCTATTTTACCCATAGCTGGGAGGAGAAGAAGAGGAATCATACCTTTTCCAAGGGTAAGTGAATGTAATTCGAACTCGGCTCTCCGATTACTCAATCCGAGCCGCTATC